AGGATCAATGTTTAGAATGTGTTTGATAACTTTTTCTAAGGCTTGGTTGACTGATATGGAAGTTGGTATATGTTATGCTATCTTACTTGAACTTTAAGCAAGCAATGGCCACTTGATGTTTCTAGCCTGTACAGGCCCTCACACTATGCTGCATACATTGGCCTTGATCAGTGCAATTTTCTCATAAACTTGTGCCAAGAAGATTTGGATTGTACCACATGGATTTGCAAAATGGACATAAAGTTCTACTTTTTCAAAATGGAAATAATGCTTTTTCTAATTAAGGGTTAATTCTCCATGTAATGTCCAAATGCATAGAACAACATCTTGGCACAATGGTTTTGCATTGAATTATTGAGTGAAAACGGGATTAGAGGCCTGCAATGTATCTTAAGCATGCTGAATTCAAAATGGCACCAATGTATGAACATGTCTTGGCCAAGAACAAAAGTGACTTTTTCCCATTTTGCAAAATTCGATTCTCCCTAACCATGAGGTTGTTTGAGAAGTTATTGGACATTTTGGAAAGCTTGGAATGTGTACTACAATCCATGTTTGAAATGCAAATTGAAATTCCAAGTGGAAGTGTATGGAAATGGCCTTGAAGTTAGGTAGAAAACCTTGCCAAAATAGGTTAAAATTTCACTAAGTTAAGAATGGTTTAGTACCCTTATTCCAAAAATTGTAACTTGAGATACAAGCCTCTTTTGGGAAAACTTTGTGAATCAAAGTTGTAGATTATGCAACAAGCTACAACTTTCATGTTTTGACTTTTGCTTGAATCCAAATGAATCTTAGTGAGAAAGTGGGGCAAAGTTGGGAAAAAATTAGGGTTTTTCATAACTTAGAAAAATTCTAAGTTATGAAAAATTCTCATTTCAAACCCTAATTTGCAATTTTTGATTTCTTGGTGAACAAGTTTCATGATTTGGCATGTTTTTGATGAAAAATGAATCTTGACTTTTGATTTTGACCAAAAAGTCAAAGTTTGACTTTTCAGTATACAGTCAAAATTGATCAATTGACTAGGAAATTCAACTATCAATCTTGTGTATTTGGGATCCTTTGAACTTGTTGAGCATGTCAAGATAATTCCATGGGGTCCTTGAGTCCATATGTAAGTTTGGTTTGCCATTGGCTAGGTCAAACAGTCAAAAATTGCCTTTGTGCAGTCAAAACCCTAAATATGACCATTTTGCCCTTTTGATGATCTGATCAAATTTCTTGTGGAATTATGATCCAAACTTGATCAAATGGTCCATGTGAGTTCATAATGTTGATGTGGGTCAATTTTCATGAGATTTGACTGTCAATTGGCCACAGTTGACTTTTTCCCCAATACAGTTGATTTCTAGGTCAACTGTCCAATTGACTGGGCAAAATTTGGAATCAAGACTTGAAACTTGGTGTGGATAAACTTGGGAGCCCAACATGAAGCATGAAAGTCATCTTAGGCATTTTAGGTCAAAATATCTTTGTGCAAACACAAACCCTAATTTGGGTTAACAGTGCAAGGAGAAGTCTTGAGCAGAGGAAACCCTAACTAGATCTTGAGCTCCAAGGGTTTTGTGATGAGAAAATGTTGAGGAAAATGGGAGGGCAAATTTTGGGATACAACACCAATGCTTGATGATTAGGCCTTCACTAGGGACACCCAAGAATCTTCCAAATTGAGTGGTTGACATTAAGATGTGCTTCCCTTTTACCCATGCCGAAAGAACACCGCCAGCACCAATTTGCATAGTGGCATAGAATTCACAGACCAAATCCGGGTAGTAAACTCCACATTCGGTAATGAGTTCACCTACTCCTTGCATATTCAACATTGATTGAAAACTAAAGCTTGTTGAAGGGAAGGATGAGAGATTACCATATTTGATCGGTGTGAGAAGGCGGAAGCGGAATGCCAAGATTGGATCACGTTCTTCTTGATTTTTGGATTCTCCTTCCATTTCCTTTGACTTGCCTTTCTCCTTTCTTGGTGGTGCCATGATAAAGGTTGGAATTTTTCTTGGGGAGAAAGGGTTTGGGATGGAGAAATTTATGTAAGAGAGAGTGTTTGTGTTGTGAGTTGAAGATGTGGGTATGAATGGGTATTTATAGATAAATTTTGGAGGGAGTTCATCTTTTGGTGAAGTAAATATTGGAGGGAGTAATATTTGGTAATAGTAATTTTTGGTGGGATGATTTTAGGCTTTGATGTTCCAACACCATTGACAACACATACCGGAGTAAACGCACCATTTTGGACAGCATCCCATATTTCTTCTCCTTGTGCTTCTAGATGAGCCTTCATGCGAATTTTCCAAAAGTCAAAATATTCACCACAAAACAAAGGAGGCTTGTTGTTACTACCATCATATTTGAAAGTTGGTTGTGCGAAAGCCATTCTGGATCGAATAGGAACAAGTTACCTTAGCTCGCTCTGATACCAAATGTAATTTAATAATGCGCCTAAAAGGGGGGGTGAATTAGGTGATGGTCAATTTTTGCCTTCTTTTAATGTTCTTATTTTTCTGAATATGGTGATGATAAAAATAAAGTGAGGAAAGTAAATGAACACAGTATGTATACTGGTTCCCCTCACACTTCTAAAGTACGTCCAGTCCTCTTGCCAACACGGAAGAGATTTCACTATAGTTAGAATAATTGTACAAGCCTAATCACACCAAAGATGATACCTTACTATCTAACCTATAGGGAGATCAAAGGATCTTAAAACCTTTAAGATATTCAATACTAAGTGCAAGAAGAATAATCTTCATCAATGCACACACTTGCTCCAAGAATCCTGGAATGCAAGGATAATCTTATACAAAATCTGAATTTTTCAAAGTATGATCAATTCTTGAATAACACAATGGTTATCAAGATACTAAGACAAGATTTTAATAAGAAGTTGATAATCAGATCTAGTGCTCAATATATGATGAAACAATGATGAGTATGAAATTTCTAAACAATGTTTCATGCAATATGTAAATTCTCAAAGTTTTACAAAACTTAAGAATATTTGAAAGTTTGAATGATATCACTTATGTTTGATATGAGTCCAAACGAAATTTATATATGAAATGCACCCTTTCATTACACCCTAAATGGGTAGAAAGGTGCACTGGTTGGACCCCAAGAGGTATCATCAAACAGCCATGTAAAACAGAAATACTTTTGAATTTTTCTACAGCGATAACCGCTTACCGTTGTGCTGTAACCAGTTACACATGTACGTTAACATGAAAAATTTTCAAATATGCATGCTTGTAACCGGTTACTCAGAAACTGTAATTGGTTACCACTGAACCAAAGTATTTAATTTAATTTTATGAAGTCTTGTAACCGGTTACTGTAACCCTGTAACTGGTTACCACTGAGTGAAAGTGATAAAAACATGTTTTCTAAGTGATGGACATGCAATGTTTTACACTTAAATGATCATGATACTTATGTAAAATGTTTAGAGTATATTTTGAGCACTATATCATCTTAAAAACCTCAAATTAAAGCTTGTACCTAACTTGTTGATGAATCTTCATATTCATCATCTTGAGAGTTGATTGTACACTTACAGAAGACTTCAAAAAAATATCTTGAAATATTTATATGATCTTGAATATCTTCTTTTCCACAACCTTGATATTTATTTGACTTTATGTATGGTGGTCTTTGTCAAAAAAATTTGATTGTTGTGCATGCAATCACAATGTCGATGATCAAGCATAACAGCAACAAATATCAGCTTATTCATTTTTTCAACATCACCTCAATATTTACCATACTTAACTTTCATATTTTTAGTCATGTTTCCAAGCAAGTTATCTGAACTTTTTAATTTTATCCACCCCTTCAAAGTAGTCAATATTCTAATGTGTTTGTTGAAATATTGAGAAGATGTTACAAAAGTAGAACCTGAAACTTTCTTTGTAATGTCAAAAAATATTTTCAAGAAATCAACAAAACACTTTGCATTATCCCAATCCACATTATTTGGAATACCACCTTTCATCAACACAAAATCAACACACTTCTCACTTAATCTCTTAAATTCTTTCTGAAAATTCAATGCACTTTCAAGCATGAGATATATGGAATTCCACCTAGTGGAAACATCCAATTGAACAATCAACTTTTTTTGTAACCTAGCTTCCTTAATACAGGTTTTAAACTTATCCATACGATCCGGAGATGCACGAACATATCTAACAACATTACTAATCTTACTAAATGAAGAATGATAGTCTTCGAGTCCATCTTGCACCACAAGATTCAGAATATGTGCACAACATCGAACATGCATATATTCCCCTTTAAATGGATGTGAATTCCAATAATTCATTGTATTTTTCAAGTAAGTGATATAGACATCATTAGAACTAGCATTATCAACCGTAATGGTGAAAACATTACCTATTAGCCATTCCTCCAAACATTTTTCAAATTTTTTACTAATGGTTACTCCTTTGTGATTCACAATTGGATAGAAATTCATAATCCTTTTATGGATTTTCCAATCATGATCAATAAAATGGGCAGTGCGATAGATATAAGTCAAATTTTACACTGATGTCCAACAATCAGTTGTAAGACAGACACATTTATTTGATTTGTTTAACACACTTTTTAACTTTTGTTTCTCACTCGTGTACAAATCCCAACAATCTCTAGCAACTGTAATACTTTTAGGAATCGAGAGTTTAGGTTGAACGACACTCATAAAATGAAGAAACCCCTCTCCCTTTACAAACTTAAAAGATAACTCATCAACAATAATCATCCTAGCTAACGTTTTCCTACATGCCTCGGCATCAAAATGGACACTAGTGAGAACACTACCAAATCCATTCACTTCTTCTTTTTTTAGTTGTTGAAGAACAAGAGTCTGTTGAGTGGGATCAATAGACTCTTTCAGAAACTTCTTACATTGGTTCAACAAATGGTATTTCAAATTACTAGTGCCATTTCTTTGTGAATCGGCAGCATATGTTACATCACACCAATTTCACTTACCTCTTGATCCTATTTTTTGTAAAATGTTCTGAAGTCCAAGATCTATGTTTAATAGGTTTTCTATTACGTGAATCTCGAGTTGCAACATTAGGATCATTGGATGTTGCCCATGTTGAAGCATATCCAACTTTCCTTTTCTTATTAGCATTTTCTTCATCATTAGTTTGTTCCAATGTAGGTGGAGGTTCGGCTGTTTCACCCTGCAATGTAGGATCCAACATGAATTATTTCCACTTCAGTGACTTTATTAAAGCTCCAACCTTAAGTCATTACATCCAGCAAAATTAGGATAAATGTCTACCAAAATATATAAAGAAACATGAGGCGCCTCATTAACAACCTTTGTGTGCGTAAGAGAAAAAAATGTCACCCCATTAAATAAGCAGTATTTTCAAAATAAACTACACAATCGGCATAGGTAATACCTCGCCATAACTGACTGAACTGATAACTTGACCAAACAAAACATGGAGCTAAACTTATTAATTCACAGACCCCTCACAGTTTGAACATTTCCATTTATTAACACCACTACAATATATATTACATTTAATTTACACATCAAGCACAAGACAAAGTTTCTCATCATATACTTTCTTCTACTTGTGAAATATGGTGGCAATATTATTTGTGAATATATGCAAACTAATGAAGGTGGAGGTTCGGCTGTTTCACATGAGAATTTTTTTCACATCTAAAAATTTAGGCACCATCATTCTGTTTTAAGATGCAAAATTTATTTCACATATAAAAACTCAATATAATGTTACAAAAATTTTGATTAATTGAGTGTATTCGTCTGGGAATTTTTTTATAACATTGTTGTACCATTGTAACATTAATCAACATTTCCTAATGTAAAAGTAAACCACTTAAAATTAAGTTTTGATACCTGAATATGGTTGCTAATAATATCAGATTGAGTAGATGAAGCAATTGGATCAGAGGGTGTATCTGTGCTCATTACTTTAAACATCGAACAAATTAAAAGTTAGAACATATTGAGAATTGAGATGAATACGTGTAACGATCTTAGCATCTTACTTATTGTTACTGTCATAGTGTCATTACTGGTATATGAAAATCTAAAACAAACTATACAAACAAAAATAATGATTCGTGAAGATATTGAGATGAATCAAACAACTTACTTACTACTGATATCAGCCTATCAGACTGAGATTTGAAACTAGAAAATAAATTGAGGTGAGTTGATGCTAGTGAGAATCGAGAATTGAGATGAACAATTGAGAATGGAGACTCAAAATAGTGTCTTAAATTGAGAATTACAAGGAGCGAAATCGGCGGATTGAAACGGCTATAATCAATGTCATTTATCATGAAATTAATTTGGAGGATTGAAAGCATGATTTTAGGGGTGGCGATTGAGAATCTCTTTGAAGAGTTGGAGATATGAATTGTTGCGCTAACCCTAGTTTATCGTAAGATGAATGATTTTATTCATCATTGAACCAGTAATAAATAAGGGCATAAGGCTGTGGAATAAATATCGGTTCAGTTTGGACCGGTTTGGTTCTCATACAGCCAACCATAAACTGAACCGAACCGGTCGGTTATACTACATGGTGGTCCAATCACATCCAAAAAAAATCGGTTTTATTTAGATTTCGATTTTTTCGGTTTGGTTTTCGGTTTTTTTGGATTGGATTGGATCTGAACACCCCTAGTGCTAGCCTTTGAAAGTTGACACAAAAATTTTAAATTTTCCGATGAATCACAAGTGAAAATTTTGAAATTTTCAGTTAATCGCAATCGAAAATTTGTAGAAAGTACAGAATTTTCAGTAAGCAACTAAAATCGGCACTGAAAATTTGCTTAGTGTACCGAAAATTTTGATTTTTAACTACTTTGACCAATAGTAAAAAAAATTGACAAAAACAAAAATTCAGAGTAAGTAATTAAAAAATTACAAAACTTAAAGGCCAATATATATTAAACTTAAAAAGTGGAAACATAATTGTCAATTTAAAAAAAAAATCACTAATCCAAGAATTATGGAATGACCAATAATCTAGTACCATTTTAGGGTTGAACAATTAATCAAATTAGGTCGTCTCAAAAATAAAATTTACCAACGAATAGAAAATGTGAAAAAAGAAATGCTCGTGGTCAAGATCTGTTAAACCGGATTCTGAAAAATCATACATGTAATGTTAGATATCTCAGATGCCTTCGATATATTTTATCATGTTACTGCATAATAGTCCTCTCTTCCATTTAACAACTAGAAAACAAACATCTTTAAACTTTCAAATATTTTTTTTTTATATTTGTCATTATTAAAAACTGTAATATATATGCAGTAACTCAGAAATATCAATTTACACATTGACTCGTCGGGGAGGCTTTTGTACCAAGCCATAGCCCCCTTTTGAAGAGTGGTGGGAAAGAGTCGGCACTTGATCGCTCCTCAGACTCCTCTATAATCGACCAGGGCATCGATGTTCTCGATATACTCGTCTGGATCGGTGGTCCATCATACGTCCCCATGTTTGGGGGCTTCTCTAGCCCGACAGGGATTGGAGTCTCCATATTTTATTGTGATAACAGACCACGGGGCTCGTCGTTGTCGCTCTGATCTGGTGATGGGCATGAAGAGTAGTTGTTTCTTCCTCGTCGAGGGATGTTATCTCGACGGGGAGATATGCTCCTCGAATGGTGCTTTGGCTTGGGTGATGGTGAATGGTCATTGTCTGACCGTTGACTACCCTTTGTCTTCCTGGTGACCGAGGAGAGTCGATCGCTCCGGGGAAGAGTACGGTCCTGTTTCTTGAGAAATGACACATCTAGCTTTTCGAGCGTGGGACAAAGGCCACGCTTTGAATGTGTCAGAATACAGGAGTCGTGTCGCCGATGTTTCCGAATAGGAGATCTTGGTTGTCGTCCGTCTTCCAAAGCCCTGATCATGTTATATTGTTGAAGGATCAGAGTGTTGATTTGATCAAAAGCAGCGAGCATAGATGCTATGGTCGGGTATGTAACGCCCCATATATTATATTATTTATTTAATTATGTGGTTGTGTTTCATGTGACACAATATGTGATTTGATGTTGTTGTGTATGGAGTAGTGTTGGGTTTAATTCGTGTTGAGAATTATTGTAGATTTAATAGTTTATTGGAAATTATTGAATTTAGGAATAATTGTTAGAATTATTAGTAAGTTGGAAAAATAGTAAATAATTATCTAAGTTTTATTTAATTAGATAAATAGAGATAAATTGGTGAAAGAATGATAAGGGAATTGTGGTAAAGTTGGATGGAATAAGTGAGGATAAGATAGAAATAACATATTGGGGGTACTAGGGATAAATAGGACTTAAGGAAAAGTTGGGGTTTGTGTTCTCATTGTTACGATCATGAAAAATTGAGAGAAACAAGAACTAGCGAAAGGAAGAGAAAGCTAGGGAAAGGAGACACCATTGTTGAAATTTAGAGAACCTTCAATCCAAGGTAAGGATAGGGTTCTAACTTTCTAAGGGCCAATGTAATGATGGATGTGGGGATAAGACTGCTATGGTTGTTTATTTCATATTGTTGTTCATGATTGTGTTTTTGTTTGTGCTAGAAATTGATGATAAATTGTTGGTGTTTTTGTCAGGGTAACTATGCAATTGATCATATAAAACATATAGGAATGATGCATAATATGTATGTTTGATGGTTGGTAATGAGGAATTTGATTTTGGTTGCAAAATTGGAGTTTGGGGGTTTAGAGAAGTGGAAATCGTATTCTGAAAATGTTACAGAATTTTTGAACTGACAGCAGGTGTAACCGGTTCCCATGTGAAAATTTGGATCTGGGTGACGAATCTGTGAGGGGGGAATCAGTTACTGCTAAGGAGGGAACCAGTTCCCAAATCAAGACAGTAGCCTTTTTTTCTGGTTACAGGGGGTGTAACCGGGTTACCTTCCTGTAGGTAACCGGTTACCACTGTACTGAACTGAATTTTTTATAAACTTTAAAAAGTCATCTTTTTACTCGGGTGTCTGTTTGACGTGCCGTTTGAACCTACGGGTAGTTAAAAATATTTTCTTTCACATAAAACATTCTTTTGGTACATTGCCTGGTAATTTGGATGAAGGCTTTTGCCTTTTGTGTGAAAATGGTCTTTTATGTGTAAGATGAGTATGTGGAATGATGCGTAGTGATGTTGTGTGATGTTGTGTGATTGATGTTGGTTGCATAATGCATATATAAGCTGTTGGTGGTCTCTATTAGCGTGCTGTATTGATGGATATGAATATCAATGCATTATCGTTGTTGCATGTTGATGTTGCATGCATTCATGGTGGGGGCTTATGCCCTATTATTGCAGACTCTGGTCCTATGGTGGGGATCTGGAGTAGAGTGAACCAAATTGTTCATGAATTTGTTGTAGACTCTAATCCTATGGTGGGGATCGAGAGTAGTGTGAACTAAATGTTCACAAATGGTACCACTTGCATTCGAGTCAGTGTGTCGATCTCAGTGTATTGCATTATTGTTATAATGGTGATGTGTTGTGTAATTGTCTATATGTGACATAATTGTTTATTGATGTTGTAAAGGTCTGAGTTGTGGAATGAATAACTATGCATGTATATTTGCTATATATTCATTATTATATTTTCCTTTATATTTGTTGTGATGTCTCACCCTTATGTTGGAATGATGCTTTATACGGTATCATGAAGATAGTCAGGAGTAGTTTGTTATTGTGGAGTTCGAAGAGGTTGCTCTTCATTCTTGTTTTAGAGTCGATGTTATGCTCTGATATGTAACTCCGGGTTGGGGATAAGCATTTATTATGTTTTTTTTATTATTTTGGTGATTGTGGTGGAGCATTGTAAACTCCTGAATAATTGATTAATGATTTATGTTGGATTTGAAGTTATTTTGAATAACGAACCTAAATTATTTTCCGCTGCTTAATAAAGTTAATTTTCAAGACTATGGTATTTGTTGTTTATTCGAAAGGTGTTATGCGTCCCTTTTATTATTTTGAGCAAATTATGGTTGTTTAAGAAAGTGTAGCATCCTAAATGTAACTTAAAGGAAAAATTTACTATGATTTTTATGTTATTAATTGTAGGGGAATTTAGGGTGTTATATTGTCAGCATTAGTCGATATTGGTACTGGCTGGAGGATTGTTGGAGTTTGTTCTGGGACCTTCTTGGATTTGCCATCATGGTCCAAGAATTGGACTTCATCATCTACAACTTCCACTGAGGAGGGAGACGCAGTGTGAGCATCTCTTTTGACGGGGATATCTTTAAGAAGGGGTAGTTCTCCGCCTTCGTATGTCTTGCAGACAGGGAGATAACTATTTTTCCATAAAGATGGATATCATCTTGATCGGCCATGATAAAAGTCTTTGAATGTCGCTTTTATCTTTAGTTTCAAGGAAAGAAATATGGGGAAGACAAATTCCCACAGACGACGCCACTTATCTTACCAGTGATCAGAACCTGTAATAGGATGATGGATGCGTCTGTGACGGTGGAAACGAGGAGGAGGGGGTGTACCTGCAAATCACTCTAATGCTCAAGTAAGTTAGAGTGCAAAGAGATACAAGAAAGAGATTAGGGTTTATATAGTAGAATATTGGATACCTGACCCCCCACAAGTGTGAGGGTTTATATAGTGCCCCTGGCGCATGGCTATTGGTTCCTATTTTTGGGTCTGGATATCAGGTTCCTTAAAAATAGGTAACTGCCAGAAACTAGTCATTATGAAGGGCAGAGATGCTCGGAACTAGTTGTTATAACGAGCAAAGAAGTATTCACAGGTAAGCGTGATTAGGATCGTTTCTGGATGGCTGTCCTCGTGCGGTTGGCAGGGCAAGGACTAGCCTGTTTGAGCGGGCAAGAGTGGTCTCGTTGATCCTGGGGGTCAACCGACCACGGCTCCTCGAATAAAGGGCAGAAGGAAAAAGTGTCCTTTATCCCGTACAGTTGATTG